CTGTGATTATGAGTTGAAAATTTGATAAAGTGTAAGTCATAACATAATGTAAAAATATAAGCAAATTTTTATGTCCGATGCTAATCATTGTTAAATATAAAATACTAATAGTGGCCATGAGGTTACTTTTATTATTGCAAATTGTTAGTAATATAATGTAGAAGAATACTGTATTATCAGAATTATCAATATCTATTTGACGAAAAAGCAACCTGCTACTTAGTAATCGATAAATACAAGTATTGAGTAAATATGACACAACAGACCAGTATAATTGATCCGACATTTGATGCGCTGGTATCCAATAGTGTAGTTCCAGATATCGATCCATTAGATAGCTTTTCAAGAGCTTTGAAAGTCTTCATCATGTCTTACACCGAATACGACACCATACCAGCCGTGGCACAGACCTACCAACAGAAGTAGGAGCATATGTGCTTTACCAGGACTATCGGAATATTGAAATAAAAAACATATCCACGAGTTTGGCTACAGGTGCTGATCACAGTTCAGGTAGTTTTACTGAGCGGTCAAAACGGGAACGGGAGTTATGGACAGTTTCTCAATGAATTGCTTCTCAATACGAAAAATCTCAATGTGTTTTTAGTTAACAAATTGGTTTTGATATATAAACATTTAAGCCAACGTTGTGTTAAATAAACAAAATCATTGTTCAAATTAACTGTAAAATGAGAAAAATGAAAAAATACAAATAATTTGTGGAAATATAGTCACTCTCTCCAAGCAATGACACAATAATAATAATTATATATCGGTAACTGAACAGAAAAAATGTCGATTTTTTAAATGTCGAGGTTTTAAATGTCGATTTCTATGAACAAAACGAATTAAGTCTTGCGATTGGACATAAGCCACTCGAGGCCCTCGAACAGGCCGTCCACAGTGATGGCACAGGCGGGCTGGACGTACCAATTCCGGTGCCCCAGACTCGTGACCGACAGTCCCAACTTGTCCTGGATTTCTTGCGGTTTCATTGCTGTCATGCAATCCAAACAAAATCACTTATTCCTCGATATATCAACAGTTTGTTATGAGTGACAAACGGCTTGCACGTACCGTCGGGTAAGTCCTGTTTATTGGCCAACACCAGGATAATCACTTCCCTCATCTGGGGGTCGTTGACAATCTTATGGAACTCCTGTCGCGCCTGATCGATGCGATCCCTGTCCGCCGAGTTCACCACAAAGATGAGGCCTTGAGTTCCCGTATAGTAGTGCTTCCAAAGGGACCGAATCCTGTCCTCACCGCCAGCGTCCTACCCGTCCACACAAACAACACGCCATTACTATGCGTACAGTGGTCACAAATGGTAGGACTCACCCAAATGCTGAACTCGACGTTCTTGTAGGTGACGGTCTCCACGTTGAAGCCCACCGTCCGGATCGGTGGCAACGATCGGCCTAATTTTAGTTTATATAATATGGCTGTCAATGAGACAAACATTGGTTTAGTGTTAGGTTGCCATCACTATAGGTCTGACGACATACTTGTCTTTCCGGCGGCGTCTAAGCCAAGCATCAAAATCCTCATCTCTTTGTTACCAAATAGTAATGAAAGCTTATATCATAAACATTTCAATAACAATAAGATTTACTTTTTAACTCACAATTTGTGACACAATTTCACCGATTATTGTCTTCGGTATTATTTGCCGACAAAAATTGCAATCATTTGTTTCGGACAGTAATTGTCTCTGTCCATCAGTGCAATCACTGTCTAATACTGACAGTACTTTTGGTCTGTTTAGGCATTTGTGTGGAGAGAGTGACCGTAACGCAGATATTTGAGACCACTTTGAGGTGCAATCAATTTGTGTATTTATGTATGAAACTTGACATTCAGTGTGTTTATACAAATTGAACCTAAAGTTATTTAAAATATATTCTGTATATTCTATATATTCTGTAT